ACAAGCCTTCAGGCACATAAATTATGACAGGAGCTTCTAATCCATTTCCACAATATCCACCTCCCTCCTCTCTACCACATCAATCACCAGCTACCAGCCCTTGCATTCAAGATTCTTCACCACTTCCTTTCCTCACTTGACATTGCTGGCTCATAATTGAATCAAACTGCATCTTTATCCACCCAGAACACCTATTCATAATGTCCACTTAGTACTTTTTATCACTACTGCGTGCCTTCACCACTACGCCACCACCCCATCCACCTGCCTTGCCTGTAAGGATTCCCACAAAAATGGGTGATTCTACTTCACTGAAGAAGCAAGAGAAGACAAATCCAAACAACACTACATTCATGTTCATGTGCAGGACTTAACGCAGCATTTGTCATGGACAAAATGCTTTAGAATCCATGTGTAAGGGAAAAAATATATATACTGGAACACTTAAATATATCAAAATGTGATATAATTCACAGCGTGGCGATATATTGTACCTAAAGGGAAGAACAGCTTATTTTAGTATTTAAGAATTAATAAACTATATAGAAAATTTAATCATTTTGCTATTTTTAGCAGCAGCAAACACATTTAGATTAGGTGTGAGCATTTTCTTCATCTTTCTTCTCTTACAGAATCAAACACAGTATTTTCTCACTGATGTAAGATATTTGTATATATGAATACAGACTCTGCACTTGTAGCTGCCTTATAACCTTTCAGGGGGTGTACCATCCCTGTCCTCTCACAGAGATCACATTTCATCCTGTGTTAAAATATTCCTAGTTCCCCTACCTTACCCATCTCTCCCTACCGAACCCAGCCACGTCTATGCATTTTAATCACAAAAAGGTCAAGGTATCAAGCACAATAGCACACTACCCCAGACTTCATAAATAGTTTGTGACAACTTCCATGTTATGACAATGCAATGCAAGCAAGCAAAAAAAAAAAAAGGAACAAAATAGAATCTGCTAGTGAGTCAGAAAGCTTCCTGCTACTTAAACAGAATGGAGAGAAAAGAAAGTGTATTCCAGGAAACATATGCCTCTGTTCTGACACAGGTAATAGCACTTCACATAAAGGACCTCAGAAGGTGTGGAAGCTTTCTGTTCAAGTTTGCACGCAGCATTTCTGAACCATAACTGTAATAAAGTTCAAGCAGCAACTCCCCATCTCGTCTTGGCCCACAGTCCTTCCTCTCTTCTGGAATTTGCTCGCACGAAGGAAAAACAAATCTACACCAATACTGATTTTGGTTTTGTTGTACCTCAAGTTATTCCATAAAGTGAAAATCAAGTGAAAGCAGAGAAAAGAGAAAATACCAAGCTTAGTGATACAGCTCATGAGATTCCGTCAGCACTGGGCTAAACAAAGAAAAACAACAGACAAAAAAACAAACAAACAAACAGCCCACTATCTCATTATCCCATTATCTTTGAAGCCAAAGCTACGAACTCAGCTGCATCCCTGGGAACTGTGAGGCTGTTCCCGACATCTATGCGTGGAGAGGCCACATCCCCTTAGATCCCAACTTGCCTTCACCTTGAAGTCAGTGCTTCCCACGGTCCATCTCCTCCCAGTCACACGCTACTCCTCAGATCGTTCCTCCTTTCAGGGAGAAACAACCAAATTTCTGAAATCTGCTTCCCAAACTGCACTCCACATGCCAAGGAGGACTCTCTGGCAGAGCTGCTGGAAAAGGAAATTCCTACACTCTGCACTGCCAAGACCTGGCCTTTCCTGTGGAGATGAGAAAGGCAGAGGCTCTCAGGAAACCATCCTTGTTTCTATTTCATCACAGAAACCAGTGGAACACATGTGGGTCTACTGCTACTGGGAAGTTTTAGCTCACCTAGGAGCTGTGGAGCTCCTACTTCAGCTGAAGGGAAAGAACAATCAAAACTTGGGGAAAAGTCCCTACAGCACTTTCCTTTCTATTTTCCTACAGATTCTTCTTGAAGAAGATATTCTACACATCTCCTCCATCAGCTACCTAAAAATACAGACATTACTGAGCTCAGTCTTTTCTCCTCTGCTCACTCCTCACAGCTCCAGCACTGCAGCTCACCCACCCAAAACACACTGCAGAAACATTTCTTGCAACGCGTTAAATCTCTTCTCAGTGGATCCTCAATTGGCCTCAGACATTCTCACAATCCATGCATGTGGAGCAAGATATTTTCACACACAACAAAGTACACTGACTTCCTAAACTGAGAGCATAGCCAAAAGGAGGAACCATATCTCTGCAAGTCTGAGTTTGCTTTAGTAAGTGAAAGTTCTGCTAGCACGGACTACCTCAGGGGAGGCTTGTAAGTAGGAGTTCAGAGCTCAGCCTCAAGCCCAGGACGCCTGCAAAGACTTCCTTCTTGGACAGCCACAAGCAAAGTAAGCAGTGGACCAACTGCAACCTCAAACCACCAGAACAAACCAGGGTGTGAAGAGAGCTTCAGAGAGTAGTGTTACACTGGAAACCTGAAGACCTTCTCTCAAGCCTCAGCTCTTCACAGCCAGCTTCCTCAGGAGGTTGATTCCTACACATTTTAGGGCGGGTTGTCCCCATCACCCCCTCCTAGGGCAATGCTCCTTCCCCATCCCGCCAATCCTCCGTGCTTCACCAAGGCAAACCCAGTGCTGTCGCAACCTTTTTGCTGGGACCAATCCAGGAGAAAGGGTCAGGGTCCTTTCTGCTGTGTCTTGCCTAGAGTCACCAAAAGTACAAAGGCTGCTCCAAAAGTAATGCCTCCTATTTCATCATGTCGATCCACAATGGCAGAGGTGAATGTTGGTAGTGTGGCAGCAGATGATGAGCCTTGCTGCCAATATCTTGTTACAGTTTGTTGCCATCCAACAGACGGCAGCAGCGGAGCCGTCTGACGAAATGGCGTCTGACGTGGAAGTGCGTATGAAGGAAAGATGCGTCACTGAATTCCTCCGCGTGGAAAAAATGGCACCGACTGACATTCACTGATGTTTGCTGAACGTTGATAGAGGCCAAACAGTGGATGCAACCACAGCGAGGTGATGGGTGGTGCGTTTCAGCATTCTTTTAGAGTGACCAATGTATTTTAAGGGCCTTGCCCTGCACCAACACAGCATACCTACCCTGTTGGGATCTATCATGGAGGTGCTTCCTAGCTGACTTTCCCTTCCCTCTGTCCTCTGATATCTCAGAGTATAAGAATACTCTTTGTTTTATTGGAAGTAGCTCAACGTAATTTGAAGATAAACTTTGTTCTTCCTCTTTATAGCTCAACTGTTCTGTCAATTCAGTAATCATTGTCAGAAATATTCCGGGTATAAACAAACACTAATGTATCTAATTATTTGCACATTGTATTCTGAATCCTACAGCATTCAACCTATTTCAACTCTCAAGACAAGATAAAAAGTTGCCCCTATTTATATAAAAATTCAGTTTTCAGTGTTGATGAAAATGAATGGCTTTCACCTTCTCTGTTATGAAGAACCACTGTACAGATTAGCTTGCAGAAAGACACAAAAATGCCAAAGAAACTGAGCAAGAAGAGAATCTGCACAGAAAGAAAAAGAAAAAAAAATAAAAGAGATTGAAGTTTTGATTTCCTTTAAATAGAAAAATGTAATAAGATGCCAGATAGCAGCTCCAAATACTCTTATCTGCCACAATCCACTTATTATTCTTCTCTTCCCCCCTCCACAAAAAGAGTGGGACATTCCTTTCCTGAGACTTCAAATTAAAGACTCTCATACCACTAACTTAAGTCATACAAAGTTCAAAAGTACTACTGATGCAGAACAATATTAGGAATAAAAATCTAAACGTATGTAAATTGCATTTAGTAGGTGACAGAAATCTTGTCCTCAACAATCAAGAAAATTAAGATTAGGTCTTTATTCAACAAGTCAGAACCAGGAAATTAGCAGTGCATTTACTGCCTTTTGTATCTGTTTACAACTGGAAAGGATAACAAGTGATTATTTGTTCATGTTCCTATTTTGCTCCAAAGTAGGCCAGCCAGCTCAGCACTTTTCTTAAGATCACAAATATTTGTCTGCCCTACATATGGGCTAGAGCTGAACCAATCTGATGAGCAGAAATATACAGCGACAATTTCCATATCATTCATTTTCAGCTGTAACTGAGAAGTACACAGAACAGGTGCAAACTGATCAGGTTTTAAATTGTTCTAAAATTCGCTTCGTGATTTCAACAGCACACCAAGAGGAGCAATAATTTCCTCATCACTGGATTAACATTTCATACCTAGGTTCTTAAATAATGTGCTATTTGTGAACAACTCTGACAGCTTGTTGTCTCCACTAGTTTTCATTTGTATTTCGTACATTGGTTATCTCATATAATCACGTCTGCATCCAAGAGGCGCTCACAGCACCAGCACTTTCACGATGCAAACACAGTCTGCGAAAAGCATTTAAACCATGCTTTAAAAACACATGAAACAAAAGCATTCCTTGAAATTTTAAGCTAAAGACTTCGATTTGATCTCTTACACAAACTGTCCATAAAGCGTTTTGTCACTATTTGAAAGAAGAGAGGTTAAATAATAGAACGTTGCAGTCTTGACTTCAACTCAAAATAGTAACACCCCCTAAAACAAAGTTGGCTGTTTGGAAGATCGCAGCTGTGGAAAATGCTTTGTTTAAACTGTTTGTAACGTTTTTTAAAGGAAAGTCAATTAGTCCAATTTTCCCTAGAGATGCTAATTGCTCCTTAGACCCAACGAAGTGATTACCTTAATCATATCAGTTAACTCTAAAAGCACAAATATTTCCATGTCCAGTCGTTCCTTCGATATTACAGATACGCACATTGACAAACCATTAGTAAGGCATTTCTGTGTGATTACACCGCTCAAAACTATTAGCAGACATCAACACCAAGGCAAAGATAGGAAAAAAAAACAGGTTAAAAAGCAAGTTCATTTAGAATTTAGATGATGTGCTTAGTATTTTGATATATGAGACAGTGTTTCTGCAACGGTCAGGGAGAAGCATACCTTATGTTATCTGCAGAACCTGTGCGTCAGGCAGCAATATAATCCAAATGGTCAGCAGCAGCATTTCCCACAATATACTCATGTTTCAGCAAAAGCTTCTTCGTCTTCTCCCAGTAACTCGTTAACTTACACATGTATCCAAACAACGAAGACATCAGGTCTTCACACCATCAATGTGTGGTACAGTTTGTTCCACATCAGTCACCTCCTGAGGAGACCCAAGTTGTATTCCACCACTGGAAGGATAACCAGTATGGCACCCAGCACAGATTGATGTTTTGGCAAGCATCCCATTCTCCAGACAGCCATGTTTTTGACCTGTTTGAGTAAGAAAGCGTTAGTTTGGCATAGCGACTGCCACACCACTTGGGGACTGACAAAAATGCAACGTTACATTCTGAATAATTTCAAACATGTATTTCTTCAATGATTTAGACATTCAAAGCTTAGTGATAGCATCTGACTTGACAAACATCACCAGACCGGAGCGTAACAGACAATTTGGGATGGGTTCTGTTGGTTTTCTACTTCCAAGGCTTTAAGAAAAAGGCTTTAATATTTTTGCTGCAAGTAGTAGCAATGAAGCTTACCAACCCTTTGAAAGGAAATGCATCGGGATGGTGGAGGGGAGAGCTAATGATGCTGTCTACAATGATCTTTCCTCCCACTCCAGCCCCAACTCTGCGTCCCACCCAGCAGGAAGCAGCACCAGCATCGCTTGGCTCCAGGAGCACAAGCACCACTGCTGACACTCAACCCAGCAAGGAACAAGACAAAGTAACCAAAGCAATGCCTGAACACGCTGGTACTCCTGCTGTGTCATTCCTCCCGGGGTACCAACAGCACATTTGTGCTTAGGTTGGCAAGGAACAGAGAGAAAAGTTGGAGTTCTCTGCGCAAGATGGAATAACAACGCAAAAAACAACACTGGGTCTGCCAAGAGGAGTGGGGGAGAGGGGAGAGAACGAGCTTCCACACCAAGAACAAGGGAGAAGAATGAGAAGAAGGGGGCTTGTACACAGAGAAAAAGAAAACAGATATGCAGAAGGTGAATATGTGTGGATGCACAAGAACTTCTGTTAGAAGTTCTGTGTAACTGACTAAGGCGCATTTGGAGCGTATTATGGAGGAATAGTTTTGGAGGAGAAGAGGAGAATAAACTTTGTTATTTGCTTGGCATCAGAGAAAACCGTAGCGTATCCATGGCTGCAGAGTGGGACATGTGAAGTGAAAGATTGAGGCAGAAGATCTTCATGGGAAACGCAAATATAAGCATAGAGCTGGAAGAGTAGGTAGAAAAGACCAGGAGGACAATGTGTGACAACAGAGAGAGGGTGCAAAAACAGAGAGATCAGAAATTCTGGAGGGTTGTGAGAAGGGAGAGGAAAAATGGGAAAGAAGTAAAACAAAAACAAAGTAAACCAAAACAGCAGAGGAAGAGAGAGGACTGGGATGAAGAATGAGGAAAAGCGGTGGTTGTTAATACAGAAAAATGGAAGGGGAAATAAGAAGGTACTAAATTAACTATAGAAAAATATGCAGAAAAAGAAGGGTATTAAGAAAAAAATACAAAGAGCACAAGCTTGCAGAAGTTGTGACTCTTCGTACAGAAAGTGCAAATACCAGAGGGAGCAGAACGAAACCCAAGGCGACCCAACTTTGTCAGAGGGATGAAACGGCTCTCCGTAGGGGATGACAATTGAGGACGGGCCGGACCGACCCTTCTCTCCGTCCCCCTCCTCCATCCTCCCTCCGGTCCCTCCCCACTAAGCGGTCCCCTCGCACCTTGCCGGGCGCTGCGGAGCAGAACGCGCAGCAAAAGATTCTCGGCACCCTGCGGGACCCCACCGCCCTCGGCCCGGCCCCGGCACCCTCTACACGTCCAAGAAGGTTTTCCCCGTGTTCAGCTTTGTTCTGTTCCACCTCTTCAAAAGTACGTTCCGGAGCACGGAGCACTCAGAGCCCGCTCCCCTCCCCGCAAAAAGAAAGCAATGAAAATCCCGAAACAAATCACCGAGCGGGCACGGCGCTCAGAGGGGGCGAGACATCTCTCCCCCCATCCCGGGTGTAGGGGCAGAAGGACGAGGCTCTCCCCCAGCCCATACCTGCATGTGTTCCGAGCATTACAAAGCGCTGCCCCCGGCCGCAATCGTCCCCATCGCGCACTCCGCAGCGCGGCCGGCGAAGGGGGGGGGTTGAGGGGGGCGAGGGAGAACAATAAGCCCGAAGACAAGTCGTACCTTCTGCTTTCTTTACATCGCGAACCCCAGTTTCCTCACGAGCTTACAGAGGGGCTGAACGCTTTGAAGAGTGTCGGGAGAGATGGGAGAAAGTTGCTTCGATCTATCCGGACAAAGTTGCCGAAGATGAGCTAATCCGGGAGAGATGCGGAGTTCACCCGAGTTTCTCCTTTTGTTCAAGTTGCCCGAGCAGACAAAGAGCCGGCGGCGGCGGCAGGTCCCCGCTCCCCACCCCACCCCCTCCCCCGCCGGGTCCCGCCGTGCCCTCTCCCCTCATCGCCCCCCCAACTTTCCACCTCCTCCATCCCTCCTCGGCTCTGGCGCAAAACTTCCCTCGTACTGAACCTCCCAGAAGAAAAAAAAAAAAAAAAAAAAAAAAAAAGAGAAAAAAAAAAATCAAGGCTGTTTGAGGGGTGGAAAGGGAGAGCAACATCTCTCAAATCATTATTTCCGGTAGATGCACCTCTTTGTTTGGATTCCCCCGACTGTCAGTGAGGACAGCCTCCGGGTATCGGTTAGTCGAAGCGCGCGGAATGAGACGGGCGAACGCGGGACGTAAAGGAAAATAAGTTTGAGAGAAGAAAAAAAGAATAAAAGAAAAGAAAGAAATAAAAAAAAAGAGAGAGAGAGAGACAGAGAGAGAGAGAAAAGAAAGAAAACCTCCGGAGTTGCGAAACGAACCCTTTTTACATGGACACGGGAAGTACATAAATAAACAACTGAAGGGGAATTTGGGAAGACTGTTGCTTCTCCTCCCCCCTCCCCTCCGTACATTTCCCGAGAAAGGAACGAAGGAACCCCCCAAAGCCCCGTGCCGCCGCCGCCCTCCGGCATCCCTACCTGTTGCGTAAAGAGCGAAGCAGGGGCCGACAGCATCCGTCCCGAAGAAACCGGAGGATAAGGACCCGCACCCCCTCACCTGCCCCCGGCCGCCTTCACGAGTACCTAGTCCCCCCCCACACCGGGCAATGCCAGCAACCCGCGGCCGCCCCCGGCGCTGCCCTGCCCGGTCCCGGCCCGGCGTGCGACGGCCGTCGGGGCGCCGAGATCCCCGGCGAAAGTTTGGCGGGGCGGGGCGCGCTCGCAGCGAGACAAAAGAAGAGCGGAGCGGAGCGGCGACTCACCTTGGAGGGAGGGAGAGAGCGAGGGAGTCTGCGAGGGGACCTTCCGCCTCCCTCCTCATCCTCCTCCTCCTCCTCGTCCCGTGGGCTCGGGACCGCGTTGCCGGCTGCGCGCCCATCTGCGCGGCCGGCTCGGCTCCGCCGCAGGTCCTCTCCCCGCTGAACAAAGGCGCGGGGCAGCGCCCCCACCTCCCGCCCCGTCGATGCCGAACTTTCTGTCCGTCCCCCCCACCCTCCTCTCTCCGGAACGGAGCCGCACTTCGGGGCCGGGGGTGCCGCCGCCCTTTGTCTCCGCCCGGGAGGGGTGCGGGCCGCCTCCGTCCCCCAGCACTGTCTGAGCGCGCTGACCGGCTCCAAAGATGCCCCAAGCGCAGCTCACGCTTCTTTTTTTGTTTTGTTTTGTTTTGTTCTGTTTTGTTTTGTTTTTTTTTTTCCCTTAAGAACTTGAGGAAGTGAGCTGGAATTGATACTTAGGAGCTGCACGCACCCACCACGCTAGGGCTAGCTTTGTTCAAAGTTAGAAAACAGAGGATGGTGCCGAGATAGGTTTTTTTAGACGAGGGAAAAACAGGATGGGAAGGGCACGGTGAGGCAAAAATGTATTTATCCTTTGGTGTCCTGTTGACACCTTCTGCAGCTCCTTGCTCATCTACGTCCCTTTTTCCTTCAGCTCACTCCACTAGCAACTTAGCAGTCTCTCTCCCAGCTCCTTCTCCCTCTTCCCACTTTCACCCAGTTGGGGCTTCCATTCAAACCATTCCTTCCTACCCATCGCAGTCAGCCTCAATGGCTGGTCCTCCAAAACGTTTTGTAATTCTCCTCCCGGGGTCAAACTTCTATCTCCATGCCCCAGAGAAGGTTTCCCTAACCCCTCACTGCCCTCCTCTTCGTCCCTCCAGCCCACTGTCGCTCCAGACATCCCTGCCCATGGGCAGTTTGCCCCCCCTTGCCCCTCTCAAGGACCAGCTGTTGTGCTGCAATGCACTTTGCTATTAGTATTGCTCCTGAAAAGGGAGTGCCTAATGCAGGATAGCACCGGGCAGGCGACAGGCCTGTGTTCATTCTTCTCTACTATTCCTTTCACTTTATTTTCCATTTCTGCACTGTGCCTGGAGCAACTATTGCAACACTTTTGTAACTTCCTCTCGAGTTTTCTACAAACTGCTTCTCCTTTCCTTCCTTTTCTGACTTTTTCCACCAATCCTAGATTTCTATTATCTCCACCTGCACTGTTTCCAACCTTCTATTCTCTTTTCTTTTTCCACGTCCTCACCTTTGGTGTATTCAATCCTTCAGTGTCATAAGGAAGGAGGAATGCTGCCTGCATTATAGCCCTTTCATCACTTCTATTCTTATTGCCTCCATTTTTCCAACATGCTCACTTCCAATAGCATACAATGATCTCCAACCAATCTGTTGAAGACAAATTCAAGCCATGTGTATATAGTTGTATCTGCTGTTTTTTCTTTCAGATGGCCCCCAAAGAAGATACTGCTTGCTGGGAACTTGTGACAATAGTTGCAAGCTGACAACAGTTTTGTCAATAGTTTTGAGCTTCATTCAAAAAGAAAGAAGGGAAGAAAGGAGAGAAAAGAAAGAAGGGAAGGAAGGAAGGGAAGGAAGGGAAGGAAGGGAAGGAAGGGAAGGAAGGGAGGAAGGGAGGGAGGAAGGGAGGGAGGAAGGAAGGGAGGGAGGAAGGAAGGAAGAAAGGAAGGAAGGAAGGAAGGAAGGAAGGAAGGAAGGAAGGAAGGAAGGAAGGAAGGAAGGAAGGAAGGAAGGAAGGAAGGAAGGAAGGAAGGAAGGAAGGAAGGAAGGAAGGAAGGAAGGAAGGAAGGAAGGAAGGAAGGAAGGAAGGAAGGAAGGAAGGAAGGAAGGAAGGAAGGAAGGGAGGGAGGGAGGGAGGGAGGGAGGGAGGGAGGGAGGGAGGGAGGGAGGGAGGGAGGGAGGGAGGGAGGGAGGGAGGGAGGGAGGGAGGGAGGGAGGGAGGGAGGGAGGGAGGGAGGGAGGGAGGGAGGGAGGGAGGGAGGGAGGGAGGGAGGGAGGGAGGGAGGGAGGGAGGGAGGGAGGAAAAAGAGAAAGAGGGAAAGAAGGAAAGAGGGAAAGAGGGAAAAAGAGAAGGAGAGAAGGAGAGAAGGAGGGAAAGAAAACCATATTAATTTCTAGTGCAAGCTTTGAAACAGGATATGTCTCTACCTTTTTACTTCATTATGAGAGATGCAGATTAACTAATCATTTGTGCAGAAGCCACTGGTTGCCTAGGTCCCATAATCATGGCCTGGTTATATTCAGTACACACAAAGAAAAGACAGTTACAGCTAACATGTAGCTAATTGAGCAAGGTTGAGAGAGTATAAAAAAAAAAATGATCCAAAGGGTAAAAATGTGATATGCTTTCCAAAATAAACCACTAAATAATTTTTCTGTAAGAAAAAGATAAAATGCCATCTGTAGTCATGATAATAAAACATGGTTAAAATCGCTTTGTGACACATTGTCCAGGTAAAGGCAAGCATTAAACATTGAAAAGGAGTACATAAAAAGCAAGGAAAAGAGCAACTGATGATAATTAACACAGAAGAGAAATTATAGAGTATAGAAAATCACTTGGAAAAGTCAAAATCATTACTGAAAAATCCATGTCTGGAATGGATGGAACACACACAATTGTGCAGTAAGTGCAGAATAACACATCTGTCTCTTAATGATGCTTGTGGACCTGTTGGTAGAGATGGGAACATTTTTAATTATTAGACAAAATGTGCTGCTAATCATATCTGTGTTGAATAAACAGAAAGATAAATACTGCACATAGATGATGACCTACTCTTAGGTCTGATAGCAACTGAAAAGGCTTTGGGGCAGCATCTAGTGCCAATAAACATTAGATCCTTAGCTTCAGATGCTTTAGCATTAGAAATGTCTGGGTGAGGAGATTTATGTCACAGCGATGCTCAGTTTAATACACGTTTGAACGACAGGGAAATCATAGGGGTCTATTGCCAATGTTGTCTCAACATGAGAAAAGAACATGCCAAATGACAGCACTGCCTGACTGTGGTCTCTTGCAAAACAGTGGGAATTCTAACACAGAATTAAACTGGAAGATGAATAAGGAAAAGAATCATGATTCTACAACATGGTTCATTTAATACTCTGTAGGTTAGGCTAGGTATTTAGGTTTCACTACAGGTATTTAGGTTTCACTAGAGGAGGGACCCAAGTGTGGGCAGGCAGCTCTGCATGCTGATGCGTGCTTTGAAGGACATCACAGCAGTGAAGAAGCTGCCCGTGGCACTGACACTTCCAGAGAGCACTGATCTCTTGCTCCCAAATAATGGGGCCAAGTAGCTTAAACTACTGGTGCTTATTCTTTAAATCCTTGATTCCCCACACTGCACAACTGCATTCTTTTTAATTTTTTCAACCTCAGATACACGATCGCTTTCTGTCTTTCCATGACTTAATTACGTTCTGCTTCCCAAGCTTCCTAGAGGAGAAAGCTTCAGTGGGATTCACTCCCTGGATATAAATTCAGGGCTTTTAAAATCAGAAAAGGCCATTAAGTGATCCAGCTTGACCTTCCACATAATTGGACAGAAAACATAATCCAGTTTCTCCTCTGTTTATCCCAGTAGGTGATATCCTTATGAAACCTCCGTTCCAGAAGGTTTTCCATTTTGTTGAAACATCAGCCAAAAACGTCCCTTAAGAAGCAAATCAGCTCCAACCCTTACTGTTAAAAACCAACAAACCTGTGTTTTAAATAATTATTTTCTGGCTTTGTTGGATTTTTTTTCTTTGTTTTTGTTTTTCTCTTTTTGAGTCTCACCGCTACATTAAATTAGTGTAGAGCTAATTTTATAAATGGGGGCCTAAAAGCAAGACTGACTGCACAGGACAGGAAACCTTCCTGCAGAGATAATACACTTACAGGATTGTTTTAATCTCTTTGAAGGATTACTTGCATTAACTTGTTTAGGTTCCATTACATTTAGCAAGAAAACACACAACAGCATAAGGCTCTCCAGATGAAGTCTTTTGGGCTCTGACACGCAACAAGTGTTTGGTTGC